CCTAAGAATCTACCCCAGTGCTACAAAGACACTAATTTGAAAGGAAATCTGAAACTATTCACAGAAGCACTATTCACAACAGCTGAGATGTGGAAACCACCTACCTGCCCCAGAAAAGCTGAATGGATCAAGAAGATGTGGTATCAATGAGATGCCACCTCACCCCAGTGAGAATGGCACATCTTCAAACAACTAGCAACAACAAATGTTGGTGAGGATGTAGAGAAAATGGAACTCTCCTGCACTGCTGGTGGGAATGCAAACTAGTACAACCACTATGGAAAACTGTTTGGAAGTTTCTCAAACTGATAAAAATGGAGCTTCCATAGGACCCAGCAACCCCACTCCTGGGTATCTACCCAAAAGACACAAAAACACTGATCCAAAAGACACCTGCACCCCATGTTTATTGTTGCTTTATTTACAATAGGAAAGACATGGAAACAAATGCCCAAAAGTAGATGACTGGATTAAAAAGATGTGGTACATATACACAGTGGAATATTACTCAGTGATCAAAAAAGATAAACACATACCTTTTGCAGCAACATGGATGGAGCTGGAAGGGATCATGCTTAGTAAAGTAAGCCAGAAAGAAAAAGAAAAATACCGGATGGTATAACTCATAGCAGGAGCATAAAAGACCAGGGCGGGGAATAATAATAAACAACTATATACCAGAGACATTTTGGGGGGTGGAGTGGGGAAGGGGGTCATAAATGTGGGGAGAGGGAGTGCACAGGACTATGGGAAGTCCATAGGGATTACAACTGAGATGGAAAAAGGCACAAAATTATGTAAAAATAAATTATTAAAATAAAAATTTTTTAAATTACCCAAGAAGGAATTATTTTGGATGGTGCTTTCTTCTGCCTGATGTGGGATCAGTACTGGAACTTCTGATCTTACCATAAATTATATTAATTTTTATATCCATTAGAGCTAAGAATTTTGCGACCTTGATTTGCTATTAAAATTGGTTATTCCTTAAAAAAAAAAAAAAGATGTGGTACACATGGTGGAATATTACTCTGCCATCAAAAGGATAAATAGGTGCCATTTGCAGCATCATGGATGGAGCTGGAAGGGATGATGTTCAATGAAATAAGCCAAAAGGAAAAAGAATTTTGGGGTGTTTTCATAATCTTGCACAATATTGTGGAATATAGAGAAAACAAACAAAGGGTCAGGAAAAAGACAAACTTGCATGCTGACCGCAGACCTGAAGCTTCCACAGGGGAGGGGAGGGGAGGTGCCAAGGCAGGGGTGGGAAGACACAGGGACAGTAGAGATGGTCAAGGTGTGTCCGCGATGGGACAACTACAGGGACAGGCCCTGAGGGGAGAAATCAAATACTGTACAAAAATTAACAATGTAAGAACCGAAGAAAAGTTCAATTCCAAATACTTTACGTATCGACCACACCCTCAGGGAAGTGTAGCATAGCTCACAAGAGCACAGTGACTTCCTTCCAAGACCATTCGGGGCAGGGAGGAGGAACAGCCTGCTGGGAAACCACACACACTTCCTCCACCGGGGGCGAGGCCGCACCCACAGCGGCCATCACGTTGACCGGGGCACCCTGGACATCACATGTAAAGAATGCCTTGCACCCCTGGGATCTCCCCCTCCAAAGCCCCTAACAGCAGACAAACACCAGCAGAGGGGCAACTGACAGAGCACCCCAACAGCACTTAACAAGGGGAGCCTGGAGAGTGGTCTCTGCCAGGGGGCCCCTGGGCGTGATGGGGTCAAGTTACTATAGCAACTGGATGGAGCTGGAACATAGAAAACACAAGCGGCAAAACCTAAGGAAATGTGCATAGCACATGGAGTGCGGTTACTAACGGGTCAGTCTCGGCACGGTGAAGCTGTACGCGCCCACCACAGCACAAGTTCGATCCCCGGCCAGGGAGTGACCCCAGGGTGCAGCAGACCTCTCCTGTCTCCCGGCTGTCCTCTCAGCAGTGGATTTCAGCGGATCTGCCTGTTCTGCTCCCCACTCTGTCTCTGGTGAAGCCTCTCACTGCCCCTGCACCTCTGGCCTGTGCCCCAGTTCCATATGCACAAATAAATAAATCTTTTTTAAAAATTAAATTTGGGCCCTCCCTGGTGGCGCAGCGGGTTAAAGCACAGCACAAAGAAGCTTAAGCCACTTCCGCATGAGTTCCATCCCCACCTGCCCCGGAGGTGATCCACATGGCGTGGCAGACCTCTCCTGACCCGCCCGCTGCTCCCCTCAGCAGTGCACTTCATCGATCTGCCCATTCTGTTCCCCACTCTGTTTCTGGTGAATCCTCTCACCGCCCTGCACCTCTGGCCTGTACCCCAGTTCTGTATGCATAAATAAATAAATCTTTAAAAATTAAATTTAAGATAAAGTAACATTTGCTGGGTCTATAAAATAGGATATTTTATTTGCTTAAGTGTAAACTCCAGGTAAATTTTTAATAAACAATTTGTATTTAAAGCCTAGGTAAACCTCTGGATGTGTGATCTGATTTTACACAGAAGTCAATACACTCAAGAGGATCAACGCGTTCACAGGGAAATGCATGTTTGCTTCTGAAAGCCCGTTACAGGCTCCCTGGGGACGGCGGGAGCAGTGGCAGGTGGGAAGCTGGGGGTTCCTGCCCACCTCTGCACCACAGGCGCCCAGACACCCACTCGGCTGCTGGCGTGGGACCGAGGGGAAGGACGGGGTCACAAAGGAGGGGGGTGGGACTTCGCAGGAGTGAGGCGGGGTGGGCTGCGCTTAGCAGCAGGCAGTGGGGGTGGGGGGCAGGGGCGTGGACGGGCCAGGAGGGCGTCAGCTGGAGGCCCAGTGGAGGCAGAGAGCAGGGTCAGGGGCTGGGCGGGCCTGCTGGGCCAGATGGGCCGAGAGCGGACTAGGGCAGGGCACTCCCGCCCCCGGCCTCGGGGAATCGCCCACAGCCTGGGGCAGCCGGACAGCCCAGCCCGCTGCTCAGCCTTGTTGTTCTCACAGAGGTGGGAACTCAGCAACAGCCAGAGGCCCGAGGCCCTTCGAGGTCAGAGCGAGGCCGCCAGCCTCTCCAGGCACTCTCCCCAAACTGCCACACGTCCACCCTGGCATCCGACTATGCTCCTTTTCAGCTCTGTAACCTCCCGCCAGCTGTCCGCCTTCCTCTGCCCCTGTTCCCTCATCTAGAAGCCAGAGCCAAAGGGAGTAGCCCCTCAGAGCTGTTCCGAGGACCGACCTCTGCCTGGCCCACAGCATCTGTTCCAGCATCACCGCTCCTGGCCGCCCCATCCCCTTGGGAAGCGGCCCCCGGGGGTCACCGAGCAGCCTGGCCGTGCCTGGGGTCCCCGCCTCGTGAGGGGTGCACGGTGTCATGGAGCACCACCCTCACAAGCCGGGATGCTCGGGACACCTCGGGGCTCCTCGAGTCTTATTTTCATCTTACTGTTAGGCCAAACTGAATGAGCTCTGGTTCCTGCAAGTTCTAGAAATACAAACTCATTTTCCCCTAGGAGGAATCTGTCTTCATCATGCAGAGACAGAGTGGGGTGATGTGTTTGCAGAAAAGCTCTTACAAAGCCACAGAGGCTGGAGAGGGGGCGCACCTGGGGCCGGCGACCCCCAGAGGCAGCTGGTTGGCCGGCCGCTGCCACCCTCACCGGCCCAGGCCGGGGCCACTGCATTAGCCGGGTCAGGCGGGCAGCAAAGCCACCATAGTTTCAGAATCGGGCAGCCACCCTCGGGGGCCTGCAGCGCGTGCTGGCAAGACCCGGACCTCCAGCCCAGAGTCCCCCACGAGAAGGCCCCTGAGCCCCGCCTGCGCGCAGAACAGCCAAGCTGCGCCTGCAAGGAGCAGCTGGCTCAGGTCTGAGGGAAGCAGCTTCGTGAGCATGAAACACGGCCGGGGAGCCTGTGCCCGGCGCAGACCCCCACCTCACGCCAGAGTCCCGACTGCTCAGCCTCGGGAGGCCCCTGGCTTCCGGTCTACAAGGTAAAAGCAGAAAACTGACCAGGAGCGAGGCGACTGCGCGCCCTGGACACAGGCAGCCCCCCACCCTCCCCAGCCTGGGCAGGTTCCCGCCATCCCAGAGCAAGGTAGCAAGATAAGGCACAAGGCCACGCCACAGGCTGCTTCTTGGTCACCGGAAATTCCAAAGCTCAAGCTCCTGGGCCAGTCTGGAGGACTGAGGGAGATCCCCACCTCCTGGAGGGCGCTCAGTGTCCGAGGGGACCCCGGGGCTTCTGGACTGAGGTCCACCTGACGCTCCAGAGAGCTCCCAGAATCCTTCCCACACTGAGCCTTACACTCAGAGTCCTGCCCGGGACTCTGAAGAGGCAGGAAGGAGTCAGAAATTTCGCAGGAGATGCCTTGGGGGTCAGCACTGCACCACAGCACACACAGGCCAGGCTTGGCTGAGCTGAAGTGCTGTTGACAGACGTCTGACTGCAGAGGCTGAGTCTTAGCCACAGGCAGGAGCCACTGCAGGCTGGGCCCGGGGTGCCTCCCTGATGAGCTGCGCACCAGGCGCTAACAGAACTCGGGCCAGCCAGCTCCACGCAGCACTAAGTCCCAGCCTCGAAACGCACAGGGCCTGGGAGTAGGCAGGAGGGACCCAGGAAGAGACTGAGAGATGCAGCCACCGGGCCTCGCGCTGAGCCGTCCTGGCTTCCGTCCCCTGGCAGGAGCCCAGAGGCCACAGTGGATTCTGACGATGCTCCAACGTGTGCTGGCCGTGAACCCTGAGTCCAGTTCCCGGACCTCCAAAGTCGCTGTGTCCTCGGGGGTAAGATGGGATGACAACACCCGCCCCCCCTGCCACCACTGCTGCAGAGGACGCTGACCCGGGACTGAGAAGCGGCAGGGAGCAGGCCACTCCCGCGCGGGGAGCGGGTCCGCAGGGGGCAGAGCCATCCTGCCGGGGCACTGCGGGGCTCACCCTGGCTTCACGGCAGCTCACGTCTCCTTCAGATCAGGACTCACATGCCCACCTCCCCGCCCTCCCCCAACCCCGACCCCATTCACCATCATCAGGGGTGCGGAGGACGATCCTTCAACAGCCACCACCATGGGTGCCTGGCGATGTCCACTGTGCTGCCGGGCCCCCTCAGTCACCTGGACACTCCTCTCCCAGGGAAGTCTCCAGAGCACGCCAATACATCTGCATCTCCTGGGGCTTCACAAAATGGCAGGCCACCACCTTCCTGAAGCGACACGTGGAAAAGGCCAAGCCCTCTGGGAAGAAGGTCTGTTCCGAGTGGAGAGGCACAGGGCGGATGTGCAGTTCGGCCAGGCAGAGCCCCACAAAGACATCTTCCAGCCTAATGAACGGGACGCTGGCAGCAACACCGCACACCAGGCTGGCCACGTCGCCGGAGAACACGTAGCCGGTGCCGGAGCAGAAGGGCGGGTACTTGTCCCACGGGTATTCGTATTTGCTGACAAACCATTTATTGTACTTTTTCCGGATAGGAAATTCATTCATTTTTAAGAAGCCAGTGAAGAAGCGCGAGGTCTGGTTCCTCTTCAGGAGCAGCTCCACCAGGTAGTCGACGTTGATGAACATGTCAGAGTCTGTCTTCATGGCGAAAGCGGCCTGGGGACAGTAGCGGTGGACCCACTCCATGCCCATCATGGTCTTCAGGGTCAAGTTGTCATAAGTGTCCAGGAAGTCCTTCTGCACGGTGTCGCGATGCTGCTGGCCTTCCCGGGCCACCGCCCGGGCCAGGTCCCGGCTGGGGGTGGCGCCCAGGAGGAAGAGCGCCCGGACCCGCTTTCCCCGGACGGTGCGCTCCCTCCCCCAGGTGCTCCGGATGGCGCTGCGAGCAGCCGCCTGCTGGGGGGCCGACGTCACCAGCAGGACCAGGAAGGGGGCGTTCCGCTCGCAGGCCGTGTCGGGGAGCTGCAGGAAGGCCCCGTTCGCTCTCTTGGAAAACACTGGAGTGACTTTAAAAGGAGTCTCATAGTCCATGCTAAAGTACAAGCACAGGGCTCCCAGGACCGACAGGAAAACACAGATTAATCTCCCATAAAGGTACGCCATCTGCAAGACACAGAATAAATGGTCAGAACTCAATGGCACGAGGGCACGGTGACCTTGACTGGCAGGTGGCCAGCGGAGGGCCCGTGCTGCCCGCTGCTCTCTCAGACACCCGCAGCCTCACGGCACACAGGGTGGGGTGTGGGGCTCAGAGGGGCAGAGAGGACCCCAGTGTCTTCCCTACGGGGTGGTCATGGGCTCAGGCTGGGGCACATGCAGGCTACAGGGGCCACCAGGCGACCAGAGGGAGCTTCCCCATCTAGAGGACAGGGGACCCCGAGCCCCACTAGATCTCTCCAGCACTGCCCTCCTCCGACTTCTACCGGAGTCACCAAGGAACCTGCAAGACTGGACCTCAAGGTGGGGACCATTTGCCTCTTCTCGCATGAAATTCGGCGCCGTCTCTCGTCCAGAAAGCGGCCAGGCCAGTTTCTGGTTTCCTCAGCTACCTTGGCATGCACCCTGCTGGCAGTGCTGGGTGGGTGTTTTTCAAGTAACTCGTGAAATCTTTGCATTTTTCATCTATTGCTCACCTAGCTGTCACTCTCAAGAAATTCTAGGTCCTCCAGGCCATCGTGCTAACAGTAAGAGATCCAGCCACTCACTTCTCTCGGGTAAAGATGAACCTCTGGTCCGACTCCACAGGGTAGATTCCAAGAGGAAGCTGGTTCCACGGAGCTGCCAGCTTGTGGAGCTGGGCACCATCAGCTTCTGGGCTTGGTGAGGAGTTTGCCAAATGGTGATGCTCGTCTTCGGCACCCACTGTGAGGAAAAAGCAAGCAGGGCCGTGTCGCCCAGACCCCCATGCCTGCCTGGCAGCACCGCACCGCAGTGCAAACCCTCACGCCCGCTCGGCAGCTGCCCACTACCTGGAGCCCGTCCCTGCCTCGGTTTCCGAGGACTCCTGAGGCAGTCTAACTCCGTACCTGGTTCACCTGCAATGGGAGGCCACATCCCCCTCTGTGAGGCCTTATGACGGTGGGGAGTCCATGCCAGATGCTCACGGGCATGTGGTGAGCTCAGTCGACCATTTCCATGCCCATCATTTACCTTCTCTATGTCAGAGTCTGTGGTGGGAAATGAAAACAATTAACAGAGAAACCCACCATGTGAACTCAGTGCCTGTCTTCAAAATATTACCCTGATGCCAAGCCAGCAAGGACCCTGATGCCGAGCCAGCAAGGAAAGAAAATGGCCTGGGCATAAGAAGGAAAAATTGGTATTTTAGCGGCGCGAGAGAACTCCAGATTTCATTACAAGCCTGCTCCATGTCTGTGTGACACAGCTCCACCGTAAAAAGAAAAGCCCCCGTCAGAAAACGAACAGAACAGCTAAACAGGCCCTGCTCCGAAGGTCTACGAAAGGGACCAGATCTGTGGGAATCTGCTCCTCATCTGCCATGGAGAGATGCAAACCGAAACCGCGGAGAGGTTCATTCACCTGTGCAGAATGGCCGCTCTGGACAGGGAGAGGGCAACACTGGCCCAGGTGTGGGCGGGGCACCCCTGGCTTTTGGCAGGTACCCGGCTGGCTCGCCAGCTCTGGAGAGCAGAGGGACACTCCCTACGCCTCCTGGTCCATCTCACACCAGTGGAACAAAGACAAAATCCGACAGACGCGTAGGAGAGAAAGCTCGCACCTAACCCCTCACGTGGGGCCAGCTGGCGCGTGAGAACTGTGAGCAGGTAGGGCAACACAGGCCTCGACCCTGAGCGAACCCAGGGATCTAGCGGGGAGGCGAGACTTCATGTGCTAGAGCCTCGCCGCTAGACGTTTCCTGCCAGAAGATGCGATTGTCAGTTTAAGAGAGAATATTTCCGGGCCCTCCCTGGTGGCGCAATGGGTTAGGGCAGCGCATTGTGAAGCTCTCCGAAGCCACGGGAGCACAGGGCGTGACCCACGGGGTCACTCGATCCCCGGCCAGGGTGGGACCCACAGGGCGCGGCAGACCTCTCCTGGCCCGCCCGCTGCCCCCCTCACTAGTGGACTTTGTTGATCTGCCTGTTCTGCTCCCCATTCTGATTCTGGTGAATCCTTTCATACACACCCCAACTCTGGCCTGTACCCCAGTTTTTTAAGCATAAAAAAATAAATATTGTTTTTAAAAAAAAGAGTATTTCGCAGATGGCCAACAAGTATATGAAAACATGTTCAACATCACTCGTCATAAGGGAGATGCAAATGAAAACCACAAGATACCACCTAACCCCAGTGAGAAGGGCACATCTTCAAACAACTAGCAACAACACATTTTGACGAGAATGTGGAGAGAAAGGAACTTCTCCTGCACTGCTGGTGGGAATGCAAACT